CGACACACCGCCCAGTTGTGTAAATCAGGAAACTGTGAGAGGAAGGCCAGGTACAGCACCATAGAGAAGGAGATCCTGGCCATCTGGTGGGTGGTCAGCTCTCTTCGCTATTACCTCCTTGGCTGCTCCCTCTGTTTGGATCACACTCCACTGCAGTGGCAGGGTGTGGTTGGTGGCTCTGCTGCAGGGGAGGGGTGGAGCAGCGGGTTCAGGGTATGGTTTCAGGGAATGCTGATTATTGCAGCTGGTAAGCATCATCTAATCATGCCTTCCCTGCTTCAATAGAGGCAGAAGCCAACATTGGAATGTGCGAGCAAACTAAAAATAAAATAAGTCAAACGAAACATCTGGGTTGTGCCTGGTCCTTGTGGTCTACACATTGTAAACATAAATATGCTACCTTTTGCAGAAAAAGAAAAAGGGAAAAAAGATCTTTAGATAATTTTACCAGTGACAGACAAAGTGATTCCAGGTGTACCAGTATATTTTCCATCAGATTTGTTTGTTATGAAACGGAACCTGTATTCACGGGAATCTGTCCATTTCAAGTCTGCCATTTTCATAGTGCATCTTTTGTTAGTACAGTTGTACTGAATCCGATCTTTGTAGTCTGAGTTGACTTTGAGGTTCTTGTCGTTTTCAAAACACCAGAATTCTTCTGTAACAGTATACCCTGCAGGATATGTGTAGGTGCATTTCATTTCCACTGTTGATCCATTGGAGGCACATATCTTAGCTGCAGCGTATGTCACTCCCCAGTTAGCCTTATTCTGCACCACTGTAACACAAATCAGAAAAATAACACCAGATAACAGGATTTAATATTTTGCCAGGTAATGTTTGAGGGACTGGAAACTCAAGCCATGAATTTACCTTTAATCCAGTATGTGTTGTTATTCTGTATAACAACATTAATGAAGTGTACTCTTTGAATTATAGTTGTATTGGTGGGAGGATTTTCAATCTACCTCACTTGGGCACTTTTCCAGCAACCAGCTTATCTAACAACTCTGACTTTGTTAACCTATCATAAAATAAGGTTTACAGATGAACACAGATTGCTGTTTACGGAAAAACAATGCCAAAGAAAGAGATATGTACATATGCACAGTGAGGAACATAAGTATTTGAACACTGCGATTTTGCAAGTTCTCCCACTTAGAAAGTGCAATACAAATAAATGCTGTAAAAATCATACAATGTGATTTCCTGAATTGTTTTTTAAAAGGTGTCTCTCAAAGTAGGAATGCACCTACAATATGAATTTCAGACCACTCCATGATTTCTAAGTGGGAGAACTTGCAAAATCACAGGGTGTTCAAATACTTATGTTCTCACTGTAGTAGACTGCAAATTAAGAAATTAAGAATTTTGGATTAATGTAGATTAATCCAAAATTCCAGGAACAACCAGGGAACTGAACCACAGACGATTGAGCTGGAGAAATTCAAATGCTGAGAGAAACACAGAACAGGCACATACAGATTTAGAGGACACACAGCTACAAGTGTTCTTTTAACAATCAGACAGGGGAAAATGAGACAATAACATACAGTATAGTACATTTTGTCTGCTGGAGACAACAGACAAAACGAGAAATGGCCATGTCTCATGACATTAAACTCAATCAAAAAAACAACCATTATAAAACAGGAAGTGTGACACAAAAGAACAGGGGAAAGGGATTAACGTGACACAAAGGGAAGATAGGAGGATTTGAGACCTGCACTATGATGTGTGTGTGTAATGGTATTTTCCAACGGTTCTGAGATGGATTCTCAGAAATTTAGAACAGTTGCATTTTTTGGTTTGTGGAAACACGCCGTGTTCCTCCACCATATTTGGTTACAGTGGCCAGGAAAAATGTTTCCCTTCTGACTAATGCTGATTTACATATGTGGCTAGAGAACAGCCACACATGTTGTATGCCAAAGGTGGAGGAGAAGGGGCGTTGTAGGCATTCATGTGCTCAAATTGGTGCCTACAGTTGATATTGTCTCAGTTACTTAAGCATACAAACCTCCCTTCTCTGGATGCCTGAGAAGGGCAATTTGAATGTCTAAGAGGGAGTAAAACAAAAACAGCTGGTAGCAAGTTACTTTACATCATGCCAGCTAATCTTAGGTTTCACTGTCCAGTTTGATCACATTGTCACATCGTATGAGAGTTTAGTCACTTTTAGTTACTCCATTTATGCATTGCGTTCAGTCAGAAGTGATTTTCGCTCACTCATTGACTCGTAGCGGACTCCTTTCATAAAAGGCACTGCAAGTTTTATAGTTTCACAGCTTCTTCCAGATCTGGTCCAACATCAGTAGAACAGAAGTAAAACTGTATTTTTAATCTGTACTGCCACTGTTGTGTATGTCTGACATGCTAAGACACACGCAGAGCAGAGCAGGCTCTATTCACAAATTGGGGGGTTTGTGCATGAAAAAAGAAGTATATTAATAATAAGTGTTATGCCAAATTACACCTGAATTATACCTGAATGGCGGTGGGGTAACAATAACAGCAACAACTCAGAAACCTGACTCAAGGATGATGTAAAATGGAGTATTTTAAATAAAATGTTAAATACAAAAAGACCATTGGAAAGGAAATAATAAACCAGACCAAGAATTAATATAAAACAAAAAAGAACACAACTTGAATATACTGTAACATAACAACACTTGACAAAAACATAATAGTGAACAAAAAACTCAAGAGTTCAAGATCAACAAAGCATGCCACAAAGTAATAAGAGAAAGTCAAAAGCTTATTATCAGACAGTTTTTATTATAATCAGTTCTGTGTACTTTGTTTTTACTTTACACAAGGCTACAGATAACATTCTGCAAAAGTCCATAAAAAACTAATAGTGTTTGCTAAGTGTCATGTAACGGTTTACCTATTAGGTAAAGGACAGCCTGAATGCACTTTCAGCATTTGCTTTGCAATGAGGCCCAAATGAAATTAAAAATTATTAGGTCCAATTCTATGCAGCAGAATAACTAAACCCAGATCTTTCAGGTTCATAAAACGTGTATCCTCACATATTGTAAGGACTAAAACAAAGAAGTAGAGATACTTGAGCATTTTTAGAGTATGAAAAGCATCATGTAGTCCTACTCTCTTCTTTTTTTTCAGGAAGAACATCCCAATTTTATATATAATGATGAGTAAGAAAAAGTATAGGCGAGAGGGAAGCCAATATATAGAA